GGGGGGAGACGCTCCCGCCCTCCCGGCCCCTCCCAACAGCCCCGCAATGATAAGATCCCCGGAGGTGTCTGCGCGCGACCCGCCTCTCCCTCCCGCAGCCTCGGGAACTTCCCGACCCGCGAGTTGTTGGGTAACGCGGGTCACGTTCGGGTTGCTCCTGAAATCCCCCCGCCGCCCAGTTCCCCAGCGGAAAGTCCTGCTTCCATTTAACAGCCTTCACGATTTGCGCTTTATAAGTAATAAAACGCGATTTATTTGGGATTTTTTTCGTTTACTTTAGGAAGCTTTCCGTGTTGTTGTGTTGTTGGGGTTTTTTCCGGCTTTATTCTTCTCGTTCTTTCTTTTTTTCTTTCTCTCTTTTTCTTCCCCGCCCGGTGCTAGGCGAGCAATTGGTGAAACAAAACAGATTATAAGATTAGCAGCGGGATTTTGTGCATATTAATGATAGGGAAGGGCACCGAATGGGTTTGTAATTGCAGATCTTGCGCTTGGGATTGGGAACTGCAGCCCTGCTACAGCAAAGACCCCCCTGTGAGGTTTTCACATTGGAACTTAGGGGGAAAAGTGAAAAAGTAATTACCAGAGCACAACATTGAAATGTTAAAGCACTTATTCTTTCTTTCAGCGTTCTGTTTTAAAGGGGGCAAAACGGGCAAAATGGAAAATAAATTACTTTCAAATAAGTAGGTTAGCACCTGAATGCTGCTGCGCATTTTCTCCTTTTTTTTTTTTCCCCCGACCCGCGAGTTGTTGGGTAACGCGGGTCACGTTCGGGTTGCTCCTGAAATCCCCCCGCCGCCCAGTTCCCCAGCGGAAAGTCCTGCTTCCATTTAACAGCCTTCACGATTTGCGCTTTATAAGTAATAAAACGCGATTTATTTGGGATTTTTTTCGTTTACTTTAGGAAGCTTTCCGTGTTGTTGTGTTGTTGGGGTTTTTTCCGGCTTTATTCTTCTCGTTCTTTCTTTTTTTCTTTCTCTCTTTTTCTTCCCCGCCCGGTGCTAGGCGAGCAATTGGTGAAACAAAACAGATTATAAGATTAGCAGCGGGATTTTGTGCATATTAATGATAGGGAAGGGCACCGAATGGGTTTGTAATTGCAGATCTTGCGCTTGGGATTGGGAACTGCAGCCCTGCTACAGCAAAGACCCCCCTGTGAGGTTTTCACATTGGAACTTAGGGGGAAAAGTGAAAAAGTAATTACCAGAGCACAACATTGAAATGTTAAAGCACTTATTCTTTCTTTCAGCGTTCTGTTTTAAAGGGGGCAAAACGGGCAAAATGGAAAATAAATTACTTTCAAATAAGTAGGTTAGCACCTGAATGCTGCTGCGCATTTTCTCCTTTTTTTTTTTCCTTTTTTTTTCCCCTTTTTTTTTTTCAAATTCTCGCAATTGTTTCGCGGGGCATTTGCTTCCGAACCCACCGTCCAAGCGGCAGAAACGGGGGAAGGGAGGGCAAGGAGACCTCGGGGAACACAGGGGCACCCTCCGCCTGTGAGGTTTGAAGTCAAATAGCACCAGGAAAGCTGCTCAAAGCTGCAGCTTGAAATTTACGGATTTTTTTTTTTGTGGTGGCGGGTTTTTTTGTTTTCTCCTTTTATTTCCCCTTGGTTTTGTTTTGAAACCGGGGCTTAAAAGGAAAAAAAAGAAGATTGTTTTGGTTTCCTCTTCGACTCAGGCATCAAACGGTATTTTAGCAAGGGATGCATTTCCCAACTCCAAATGCCTCACAGGGACGGTGCGTTCCCTGCAATGTCGAGAGGTAACTTGAATTTTAACTCTTATTCAGGGTTCCCGCCTCCTCGGGCTGCTTCAGCCTCCTCCCCTCAGCTTAGTCTTCCTAAAAATCTGCATTACTTTTTTTCGCCATTAAGACACACAGCGCTCCTTTACTGACTTTTTCTAATAATTCCCTCCTGTCATTAACAGGAAAAGATGCTTTAGGTTGAGTGGCACCTCCTCGCGCCTGTTGTTTTAATTCGGCGTTCAACGGAAAATAAATATATCTGGTGGAAATGAGGCTTCGAAAAAGTTTGGGGTTTGTTTTCGTTTTGGTTTGGTTTTGTTGTTGGGTTTTGTTGGTTTGTTGTTTTTTTTTACGAGCCAATAAAGTGGAGTGTCTGTTCCTCAGGCAGTAATTTCTGCTTTCGAAATTAGGGGGGAGGGGGGGTGTAAACCCAACTTTCTCTGCATTTCGCCCATCCCGCGGCTCCCAACCCCCTCTTCCTCCTCCCACCTTCGCCTCCTCAGAGGTTCAGAGCACGGCAAAGCTCCGAGGTGGGATACATTTTTTTAACTACTCTTTTAAAATATATATATATAAAAAGGGAGGAGGGGAGAGGATAAAAGCCCGCGGGGGCAGCATATTATTATTATTATTATTATTACTTTTCCCCCCCTGTCCCGGGGCTTTGGGACAGCGCAGGGGCCGGGGCGGAGGGGAGTCCCGGGGGGCGGGGGCTGCTTTTGGGGGCTGCTATTTGCAGGAACCACCGCGCTGAGGGAACGGGA